ATCACATTGTCTTCTGATGGTATATTGTTATTTTTCCAGTTCTGAGCATAAACTATTCGTGCTGCTGTAATTATATGAATGATTAAATACTGTATTTCTTTTTCATATGATCCTGAAATTATTCCTAGTAAAAAAGTTTCTGGCCCTCATTTCTATGTGTTGATTTATAATTTCTTCTATTTGTGTTTTAATTTTTTGCCAGTATTGTTTCACTTTATGACAGGACCACTACATGTGATAATATGTTCCCTTTTGGTGTTTACATTTCTAACATAGTGGTGAAGTATTAAGAAACATCTTTGCCAATCTAGCTGGTGGCAGGTGCCACCTATAAAACATTTTATACATGTTTTATTTATAGGGTGGACATTGTTAATTTATAATTTGTATTCCATAATTTCTCCCAGTTATCTAATTCAATATTATATCCAAAAAATTTGCCCAAATTATCATGTTTTCTTTGACTACCTCTTCTTCCAATTTGTATCTTAATAAATAATTGTAATTTTTTTTATCAATTTGTCTTCTGTGCCTTGGAGAATTTTGTCCAATTTGTATGCTTCCTTTTGGAATCCAAATTGTATCAAATCTGTCTTGTATCTGGATTTTATTTGCATATAAGGCCTCCAATCAATGTCTGTACCCTGTTCTTTTAATTCCTGTCTTGTTCTTAGTTCCCCTTGATTATTTAACAAATCTTTGTATCTTTTCATTTTACCAATATCTAAAGTGTTTGGGTAAATTTGTGCCTCCATTGTGGATAAACCATTCCGGAATTTTATCATAGTGATTCTTTTTTATCCTTTGTCATGTCTGAAGCAGTGCTTCCCTAATTAAATGTCTTTGAAAATATCCATGCTGTCTACTTTTTCCTTCCCACAGAAAAGCATGCCACCCTCTTTGTAGATCGTACCCCTCTAATGCTAAAATTCTTTTATTTTTTAATTCCATCCAATCCTTAATCCATATCAATGATGTTGCTTTATAATAGGTTTCCCAATCTGGGAGTGCGAATCCTCCTCTTTCCCTGCTAGCTTGTAAAAATTTTATTTTAATCCTTGCTTTCTTCTCCTGCCAAATATAATTCGCTATAAATTTATTGAAATCTTTAAAGAAATTTTTCCCTAATTTTATAGGTATTACTTGGAATAAAAATAATATTCTTGGTAACACATCCATTTTAATTGAAGCTATTTTCCCTAGAAAAGATAATTGTAATTTGCTCCAGATTTCTAAGTCTTTCTTTATCTGTTGTGTTAATTTATTATAATTGTCTTCTCTGATTGATGAACCTTTATTTGTTAGCCACATTCCTAGATATTTTTTTTTTTTTTGTCATTTGTATACCCATTCTGACTTTTAATTCCTTCTCCTGTTGTTTTGTAAGATTTTTCATTAGTGCCTTTGTTTTTAGCCTGTTGACTTTGAGTCCTGCTACCTTCCCATATTCTTCTATTTGTCATAGTAATTTGGGTCCTGTGGATATTGGTTGCTCTAGGATGAAGACCAGATCGTCAGCAAAAGCTTGAAGTTTGTATTCCTCTTTTTTTACTTTCAGTCCTTTTATTTCATTATCGCTTCTAATTTTGTTTAACAATATCTCTAGTGATATTGAACAATAAAGGGGATAAAGGGTATCCCTGTCTCACTCCTTTTGTTATTGTAAATTGTTCAGTCATATCTCCATTTTTTGCTATCTTTGCTATTTGGGTTTTTGCTATATTTTCTTTATCATATTTACAAATTTATCGCCAAATTTCATATTTTCTAATTGTAGAGTAAGGAATTTCCAATTTAAATTATTGAAGACCTTTTGTGCATCCAAGAATATTAATGCCATTTGTTTGTCTGGGTTTGCTTCGTAATATTCTAATACATCAATTATTATTCTCATGTTATTTTTTTATTTGCCTTTTGGGTGGGAAGCTGTTCTGGTCAGGGTGAATATATTCATTTATTACTTTTTAAAATCTTTCTGCAATTATCAGTGTAAATAATTTATAATCTACGTTTAATAACGATATTGATCTATAATTTTTGATTTGTAATTGGTCTGTCTCTTCTCTTGGGATAAGCGTGATAATAGCTTCAGTCCATGAATTGGGTATTTTGGCCTTCAAAAGTGCTTCGTTAAAAGTTTCTAATAAAATTTTGTCTAATGGTTGACATATCTTATAAAATTCTGCCGGGATTCCATCTGAACCTGGAGTTTTGTTGTTTTTCTGTTTTTTCTTGCCTCTATTAATTCAGTCAAACTAATTGGCCCATTTAGTATTTCCCTCTGCGTCTCTTCTAATACCATTAAATCTGATTTGTTTAGATGTCATTTAATATCTTCTTCGAGTATATTCTCTTGTGCATATAGCTTTTGAAAGAAATTTTTTGCTATATTTTTTTATCTTCGTTTCTATCGCGTGTCTCTCTTTTCTTGTCTTGTAATTGATATATCGTTCTTTTCTCTTTTTCTTTTTTCAGTTTGTATGCCAGCCATTGTCCCATTTTGTTTGCGTGTTCAAAGTGGTTTTGCTTTGCTGACTTAATTTTCCATGCTATCTCTATTTGTGTGGTCAATTTTGAGTTTTATCAAATCTATTTTTCTTTTGATCTTTTTATTTTGAGGTTCCTTCTGTAGGTCAGATTTTCTACTTGCTGTGCCCATTTTTATGACTGACAAAATTATCTCTTCAAATCTTGTTTTATATGTGTGTGTGTGTGTGTGTGTGTGTGTGTGTGTGTGTGTGTGTATGTATATATATATATATATATTATATAAATATATATATAATATATATATATATATATATATATATATATATATATATATATATATATATACACTTCCAATTTTACGTGGGAGAAGACCCGAATTTGCAGAATTTGGAGGATGTCCACTCAGAACAAGGTTAACGTCCCACGGGAGTGGTACCTATTTATCAACTTACATTTTTACATGCTTTTGAACTGCTAGGCGGGCAGGAGCAGGAGCAAGGATGGGAGCTCACTCCATCAGGCAGTCCTCGAACTGCTGGGATGCCCACGATATCTGGATGACAGATACAGTGTCTTTAAGCTGCTGTGCCACCAAACCCACTAAAGTGAAACTGTTGATATGTACTGAAACAAATTCAGGTAAAATATCGCCCTGGCAGATCAAGTGTTTGTAGGAAGCTGTTTCTTAGTGCAAACTGGAGCATAATTTCTGCTCAGACCTTTCAGTGAGATATGCAAATCTTAAATTTTAGCACCAAGAAGCTGCCACCACCAAGGATTTGTTTTTCCTTGGATTTGAAGCGGTTTTAGAGGGAAATGCAAGCAATCTGTCTTACAAATTCAGTTGTAGGTGCCTGGAGCTTATTTGGTCTTTGGGCCGAGTGTCAGCTTTCCAAAATCTGTAGAAACATAAGCATCCATTTTATTGCTCATAATAATCCATTAGTTTCTGCCATATGATGATTTCCAGTTAGACTGCATATAACTACTACACATATATGCAGATTTGATGAGCTGACATTATATGTCGAGTGATTTGCTCTGTTGCTTCTTCACTCTCAGTTTGACAACTCCGTCTGCAGATCGTGAGACCCTGCTGCCACCCCAAAGTCATGCCGCACAGGTGGTTGAATAATCCGGGCCATTCTCATAACAAAAGATGAGGATGTAATTGGACAATGCATTAAACTGAGGGGGATGGGCAAAGACAAAAAGCAAGTTTAACTGTGTGAGCTTGTGCGTGAGTAAACCAGAGCTGGTTTTGCTTCTTCTGTGCCAATAGTGTATTCAATAAAGTTTTACTTTCGGGAAGCACAATGTCCAGGAGTTTTCTTTTTGGATTCTCTAACTGGACAACTGACAGTATAATTTAATGACCCAGCTAATAGCAACAGGAAATAGTTCTCCCACTTCCCTTTGTAACAAAGTCATCACAGGTTTTATTTCTTAGATGCATTGTGATTTTTATTGATACTAGAAGGCATCCAAAATACAGAAGTGAACTGACATTTTTATCATATGCTCTCTAGATATCCAAAACTCAAAAATCTAGGCCCTTTTGGGAAATAGGAACTCCAGCCAACCAATAACTGAAAGATGAATGTGAAAAACTCAAGATCACTGTAACATTTCTGGAATGACAAAACAATGCAAGTAAAACATGAAGAAGCATTTGGTGTTGCTGGAGCAGCAAGGATGAGGAGGGATGTGAGGAACGACCGAGCAAAGTGACTTCAACCTTCAAAAGTATGAAGGCTATTGCTTAACGCATTGTAAGCCGCCCTGAGTCTCCGGAGAAGGGCGGCATATAAATCAAATTAAAAACAAAAACAAACAAAAAAAAATCTTACAAGCAACGAGGACACATGGCTTAGCAAACCTCCTTTGCTAAAACTTCTGCTGAAGCAGAACATCCTTTCTAAAGTTTACAACATCTACTATGATACTACATTTCAACTGCAAATGTTTGTGCTTCCTTTAATCAATAGCCCTGAGATCTGGATTTGCTCAGAGCAGTAGAAATCCAGAGCCTAAACGGTTTGAAGAAGAGAAGATACTCTGAATTAGTTGAACTTCACACCACGTGTTCTGACCCAGGTCACCTAGGCAGGAGCAGGCTTCGACAAAGCCCTTTGTTGCTCTGTTAAATTATACCACAAGTTGGTAAGCAGTGGTGGGTTGCTACTGGTTCGCCTGGTTTGGTCGAACCGATAGCGGCGGCGGCAGGAGGCTCTGCCCATCCACCCAGACGTCATCAAAAATGCTCTGTGCATGCGCAGAACCTTCTGTGCATGCGCAGAAGCACCGCAGGCTCGCAAAGCAAGTGTGCGCACCCGCATGCTGCGGATAGCGAACTGGTAGCGCCGGAATCTGAAACCCACTATTGCTGCATCCCAAACTTCGCTGCAGGTAGCTACCCACAGTCCCACGAACAAAAGCAAGTAAGCAACAAAACCAATTTATAAAAGCAGAGAGGAAGTCCAAAGACAAGGTGCAAGCTCACAGGTAAGGTCCAGAGTTAAGGTCCACAGGACAAGGCAAGTCCACAAGGCAAAGGCACAGGCAGAAACACCAGTCAAGGCTGAGTTTTTCCAAAGCCCGGGGAGCGTAAACCAAAACAATTGTTCCTGAGAAAGACAAATTCCCCCAGCTTCTGGCTTAAGTCAACCGACACGTGTTATGTCAGGTTTTTGCTGCAAAGCTGACATCCTGAAGGGGAGGGGGCATGCTTCTTGGGGCCGATTGCTTTGAATGCTTTCGCTTTTGCTGTAACCGCATGGGAATTAGAGAAGGGAACTGGGCCATCAGGATGGATTCCCTCCCAGCCGATTCCAGCCCGTTACCCAAGGCTGCGACACCCCGAGGATGACTTGTTATCACCATCCTGCCTCAAAGTTCTCAGAACACCTTTGCAGGATCTGGTAGACATGGGGCCCCGGGTGAGAGTTGAACAAGGGAAATTAGCTTAACACTTTGCATGGGAATCTGCAGACTCTGCCTGACTTATTTCTCTGCAACTGCTTCTCTCAGTAAAAGTACCATTTGAGAGTCATGCTTTCCTGAGAAGATAGCTGAGGCAGGTCCTTATGAGGAGGGGCGGGGTGACCTTCTTCTAAGCAGCCTCGCAGACCTCCTTTGGGCTTGCCTCTGCTCTATTCTTCGTGCCCTTGGATCAAATGGGGGAGGCAGCTGTTCCTTATCAAAGGGGATCTGCTGCCTATCAGCACCACTGTCTGTCTCTAAGGGCAGGCAGCTCCCCGTCTGGTTAACAACCTCCCCCAATGCCTCAGGGGCCTGGGACAGCATCGTCCTCAGCCCCCTGGCCTCTCCAAACATTCCCAGGGAGACGTGCCATCCCTGTCGGACGGTCCTGGTTCAAACTCCTCCTCCTCCTCCTCTGACCAGGATCCGCTGGGGACATGGCACCACATTTGTGGTTGTAAGTCGACGACTACCTGTAGTTAGAGCATTTATGTTGCTTTCTTCCTCTTATGCCCTTGAAAATAAAACCTGCCACATCCAACCCAATGCCCCAAAGTTTTTCTGCCTTTTAGACCACCAAATTCAGACAGTGGCCCGATTTAAAATGTGATTTCTGCTTTATCAACTTACAAGTTTATCACCAGGGTGCCCCAAAACCAAAGGGTGGCTTTTTTCAGTCAAATGCCAAAATACGGAGAGATCCGTGTTAAGGGCAATATCATCCCGTTTCTGTTTCCTTTTCCAGTTCCAATTCTTCATTGGGTTTTCTTGGGTGGCTTGTAAACCAGCAGAAAATAAAATGAACAGATGCCACACACCAACGTTTGAATGAACCACCGAAGCTGCGTCTTGCTGTCCGTGATGCCTTTCTTACTGTGAGGAAAAAAGAGGGAAATTCCACAATATTTATTTAGTTGGGAAAATGGTTCAAGCTTAACTAAAGTTGCGTGATCTTCGGCGCTTATTCTGCAATCAGAAAAACAAGCTGCTAACATCCTTCTTGAGTATTCACAGCGTGGACCGCAATTCCCAGTTACAAAACCTATTTTGGATCTGAATATAAACCTGGATGAAGGTTATTTTACTTATTCTTCTTATTCTGCACTGATAATTGCACTGCTGATGTTACCTACCGTATTTTTCAGACTATAGGACACATCTAAATTTAGAAGAGGAAAACAACAAAAAAAAAAAACATTTTTGGCCTCTGTGAGTCCCATTTTTGGCCCTTTTTGGGGGCCTTTTTTTTTTTGTCCTTTTCAAGCCTTTTTTGGCCCATTTTCAGCCCTTTCTTCAGCCCATTTTCAAGGCTTTCTTGGGGGGGGGGCATTTTTGAGCCTTTTCTTGGCCCATATTTTAGTCCTTTTTGGCCGGTTTTTTTCAAAAAAATGGGCCGAAAAAAGCCTCAAAAATGTGCTGAACAAAGCCTCAAAAATGGGCTGAAAAAAGCCCTGAAAACAGACTGAAAAAGGCCTGAAAAAGGCCGAAAAAGGGCCGGAAAACGGGGTGTGCAGAGGCCAAAAAACGGCCAGCGGATGGGCAAAGCTTAGGCAAGGTCTATACGATGCACAGACATTTTCACCCTCTTTTGGGAGACAAAAAAGTACATCTTATAGTCTGAAAAATACGGTAGTTTGGCAATGAAACATCTGCCAGAAAACCACCAAGAACCCAAGTCTTCTTCTTCTGCTGCTCCTTCTTGTATAACCCAACTTCTCACCCTGCTTATGTTTTCAGATCAATTCCTTAGAGGGGGACTGCATTAATTATTGGTTAGCAACCCACAAAGAATCAACCGAGTTGTGAATATGTTTTCGTGCAACGAGAACACACTGGGTTGGGTGAGTAATTGCTTCTATTGGCTTAGATGAAGGATGGGAATGAAATGAACTGCAAGTTGAATATAATGTTGCAAAAGAGGGTTGTGAAAACACACAAAGGTGTCTTCTGCATTTTGCACACTCCACCTTCTATTGAGTAAGATATCTCCTCCAGAGGAACTTGTTCAACTCTGGCTCTCCTCAACCGAGATCAGCTACCTGTTCTTTCCTATCTGGACAATCTCCATGTAACATTGACCAATTTTAGACTTGATGTCACCATATTTTGTTTACACCTCCAAGCTTGCAATGAAAGTACAGGTCGACTTACAACAGTTCGTTGAGTGACCATTTGACACTGAAATAAAAAGTGATTTAGGCCCATTTGTCACACTTACGACCATTGCTGCATCCCCAGGGATTAAAATTCAGATTCCTGGCAACTGACTCACGTTTATGATGGTTTGTAGTGTCCCAGGGCTACCTGATCCTCTTTTGATAACTGTCTGACAAGCCAAGCCAATGGGGGAGCCAGGTTCACGTAACAACCCTGTTACTAACTTAACCATTGCAGTGATTCACTTAACAACTGTGGCAAGAAAGGTCGTAAAAGGGGGCAAAGGTCATTTAACAACTGCCTCACTTAGCAAGAGAAATTTTGGGCTCAATTATGGTCATAAATCAAGGACTTATCTGTATTGGAATGGAAAATCATATTATTTCTGAATATTTTCCATCCATCTATGCCACAATTAACATGGGAGTCCTTTCTATAATCTTTTAGATGCGGGAGGCAGTGTCCCTCACTCAGACACCAAACAAGACAGACCCAGACTGCAACGGATAGTTAGGACTGCAGGAAAAACAGCTGCAACCAGACTGCCTTCGATTGAGGACCTCTGTACTGCATGAGCCAGAAAGAGGTTGTGAAAATATTTACAGACCCCTCGCATGCTGGACATAAACTGTTTCAACTCCTACCCTCAAGACAACGCTATAGGGCACTGCACATCAAAACAACCAAACACAAGGAAAGTTTTTCCACCCCATGCCATCCCTCTGCTAAACAACTAATTCCCACAAACACTGTCTTATGCCCTGGGATGTCAAATCATCTAATAAAGCTGTATTAACCATTATTCTCCTTATCTTTTCATCTTTCCTATTATCTACTTCCTTAGCTTCTTATGACTATAACTTTGTTGTGTGTATCTTATGATTTATGTTGATTGCTTTTACTTAGTATGTGATTATGATTTCTGCCGATTGCTTATTTAGTATCCTATGACTATCACTTTGTACTCCCAATTTGTACTTCTTTTTTCTATTCTGCATCCTATTCTGTTCTGCTCTATTCTATTCCGTTTTATATTCTGTTCACAAAGAGTATTTCTAGATGTAGAAAACCACCGTGCCAACCCAACTCAAAGTGTGCCACCTTCAACTCCTGAAGAAGTTAGGAGAACTTACTTGCATAACCAGATACTCAAAAACGCTTCACCGATATGAAGTAACCAAGCCACCGCATATCTGTAATTAAGAAAAACAGCACCAGAGTGTCAGAGAATTCATGACTGGCCGAGACATGGTAACAAGGTCAGCCAATGAATAGGCATAGCAATTCGATCAGCCAATGGGGACTGCTTGGAAACTGAAACTAGTCTGCTGAATTGAAACTGAAACTCATTTCTGCTGTTCTCTACTCCCTGCCTGTGTTTTTTGCCTATAACTCTCTATCACGTTGGAAGAATCTGCTTTTGGTATTATTATTTTTTTTGCAAAAACTTTATTTTTTAAAACAAATATATAAAAAACAAATAAAAAACCATCTTCAATGTAAATACAAACAGTGTGTCGGTTGGTTACAAGTCTTTTGTGCATCTTCACTCTATTCATATATATCCATATATTATTATCTTCATTAATGTTTAACTATGGCTGTCTCTTCCCTCATTTCATACAGAATAGTCTAAGATTTTTCAGAGTATAAGACACTCTGGACTATAAGACGTACCTACCTTATTTGGTGAGGAAAACAAGAAAAAGAAATCTGCCTCTGCCTCATCAATTTTGCTTCGTTGCAGCAAACAGCAAACAGCCTGCTTTATTTTCATTTTTGTTTTCAGTATAGCTTGATTAGCACAAGAAAACAAATCTGCTCCCAGCAATTTTCCTCCTTGCAGCAAGCAGCAGAGGCCCGCACATCAATAGGCAATCGCAATCCTGCAGCCTGAAACAGCTGAGCGTCAGGAGGCCAATCCAATGGACAATCAACTTGTGCTAATTAGGCTGTGCTGAAGCTGAAATGGGCTGTTTCTTCTTGCTACTTGTTGCAAGGAGGTAAATTGCTGGGAGGCAGAGGCCAAAGGGTGGGGGCCAGTGGGTGGGTGGAGCTACATTCAGTGTATAAGACACACCCAAATTTTCACCCCCTTTTAGGGGGGGGGAAATGTGCATTTTATACCCCGAAAATATCTACACTCACTTGGCAAGTATTTTTTTTGCTATCTTCCCCAGAAGTCTTCTACAGAAGCATTCTTAAGGCTGAAGCACTCCTAAATTTGATTCCTCAACTTTGAATTTCTCTTAACTCCTGCGATGACCAGAATTTGGTCTTTTTTCTCTAAGAGGTTGAATGAGTCAGAGTTGGTGCAGGTTCTAGATTCCTTCTGGTCAATTTTGCCTTTGGAATTTGCCTTGTTATTTGGCCTCAGGTCATTGAAAAAGTTTAGTCAACCGGGGGATCAGTTAAGAAAAGGAAGGGAAGGACTCAGAAGGAAGAAGGTGTGAAGGGGAATAGGTGGAAAAAGAGAAGGGAACTGTGTGTCCCAGATTGTCCTGCAAAACTTCTCTGGGTCCGTCCACATTTGATGGAACTCAGAAAACCATTTTGAGTTTTGTTTCTGATAACTTCCAAAACACTATGTTTGGTCATAAAAACATATTTCTATGTTCTGTGTTGGGATGGCTTGTCCTCAAAACATCATTCTGGGCAGGGATGAAATTCAAAAATTTTTCCTACCGGTTCTGTGGGTGTGGCTTCGTGGGCTTGGCAGGGGAAGGATACTGCAAAATCTCCATTCCCACCCCACTCCAGAGGAATGATATTGCAAAATCTCCATTCCCACCCCACTCTGGGGCCAGCCAGAGGTGGTATTTGCTGGTTCTCCGAACTACTCAAAATTTCCGCTACCAGTTCTCCAGAACCTGTTAGAACCTGCTGGATTTCACCCCTGATTCTGGGTAAAAACATCTTTGATTTCCATTATTCCCTATAACCCTAGAGTTTCCAAAACTGGGTTTCAAAACCCAGAAGTCAAGACACTGCTAAGAATTCTGAGAGTCGCAAATAAACACCTCTGGATGTTGGGAAACACTACCCCAAACTGATGAGAGCCCAGCTTTCTCTTGGCAAAGGTAACCAGCTTTCTCATTTCTCTTCTTGCAACAGGACAGCAGGGCCGGATTTAGATGAAAAGAGGCCCTAGGCTATTCCACTTATGAGGCCCTTTCACCTATAGTGAAAGTGTAATTTTAATTTTGCTAACAATTTGAATGTAGGCCCCTCTTGATCTTGAGGCCCCCTCTTGATCTTGAGGCCCTAGGCTGAAGCCTAGTTAGCCTATAGGAAAATCCGGCCCTTCAGGACAGTACATTGCATTGCTATCTGTCAAGCATGTGCTCAATTCCAGTTAAGCTGGTTTATTGTTCATGCCTATAGACAGGCATCTGGTCATCTAAGGTCAGCACTAAATTGGTATTCGATAAGATTTAACAGAATTCAAGAGGATGGGACATCGACCATTATTTGTGGAAATGTAATGACTCCAGGCTGATAGCTCTCTTGACTCTGCCTTAGCGCTCTGTCTGTCCTTCTCCTATACCGTCCTAAAAAAGTTGTCCTATGCAGCAAGACAAGCTGTCTAAAGATGCACATTACTTGGGTAATGCCTGCCTGTTTCCTGACCATCTGGAAACCAAGTTTCCTGTATGTCCATATAAACGTCTGGCTTATTATGAGCCATGGTGACGCAGTTATTAGAATGCAGTATTGCAGTCAAACTTTACCCACAGTTCGATGAACTATGAAGTTCGATACTGACCAGCTTGAGGTTGACTCAGCTTTCCATCCTTCTGAGGTCAGTAAAATGAGGACCCAGATTGTTTGGGGGGCAAAAGGATGACTCTATAAACCACTTAGAGAGGGCTGCAAAGCACAGTGAAGCGGTATATAAGTCTAAGGGTTTTGGCTATTCAGCGGTGAAAAGAACTTACCTTCTTTATCGGTTCGAGAATGTGAGCATGTGCGCCTCTTCTGTGCATGCGCAGAGCCTTCTGCAAATGTGCAGAGGGTCAAAAATGGGATGTAATGATGTCCTGGCAGGTAGGTGGAGCCTCCCACCGCCGGTGCTACCGGTTCGCGCGAGATGGATAGATCCGGTCAGATTTCACCGCTGTGGCTATTGCTATTGGCCAAATAGCCCCTACAAGGAACGTGTGTCCCCAAATGTTGAAGTCAACTTACCCTACATTGAAAAGAGTTTTGTGGTTCTCCTGCAGATATCGTGTCAATCTTCCTAATGGACCCAGACTATCATAGGGGATTCTTGAAGGTGCCAAGACAGCACACTGAAGAGGGGAAAAGGGAAGGCCCATTTTATTAGCACCACTCAAGCTTCTCCCCAGATTGTTCCAACTTGCACACCGGTTCCTTTTTCAATCCCCTTGTCATCTTCACAACCAAATTTACAGGGTAGTAAGAAAAGAGGTTCTGCTGTTATACTTTCCATAACCTGTACACAATTGTACAAACCAACAACACTTTTTTTAAAAAAAAGGACATGGTTTATAAAATGTGCATCTTTCTAGAATGGGGGATTCAGCAAACCAAGATAATCCATCGATAGAAGATGACAATAATTATTTCCCTGAAAATAAGACCCTGTCTTATATTTTTTTGAACCCTGAAATAAGCGCTTAGCCTTATTGCCATGCGGTCAAAAGCCCGATTGGGCTTATTATTAGGGGATGTCTTATTTTGGGGAAAACAGGGTAGTGCTCTCATGATCAGAGACCCAAACTGCCAGATTCCTGGGAATTAATATTTTCAGGGAATTATTTCCAGGGAAATATTTTTTAAAAACCTTGAGATTGTCTCCTCTGGTAGGAGGAGACTAAAAAGCCTGGAGACTAAAACACACGAAGAACAGTTGCAGGATTTGGGCTTGGCTATAGTCTAAAGAAAAGAAGAATAAGGGGTGACATAATAGCAGTCTCTCAATATTTGAGGGGCTGCCACAAAGAAGAGGGGGTCAAATTATTCTCCAAAGCATCAGAAGGCAGGACAAAAAACAATGGTTGGAAACTAATCAAAGAGAGAAGCAACCTGGAATTAAGGAGAAACTTCCTGACAGTGAGGACAATTAACCAGTGGAACAACTTGCCTTCAGAAATCACGGATGCTCCATCACTGGAGGCTTTTAAGAAGAGACTGGACAGTCACTTGTCTGAGATGGTATAGGTTCTCCTGCTTGAGCAGAGGGCTGGACTAGAAGACCTCCAAGGTCCCTTCCAGCTGTGTTCTACTCTATTGTCTGTGACTCTTTGGGTCACAGAGAAATAAACACACATTATTTTATTATTTAGCGTATGGCAAATACATGGACTTGGCAAAAACATTCGAACATGGTTTAAATGTTAACATCCAGTCCACCCAGCCATTCAAAGACAAACACACAAAGGCAGATAAACTAAATTTCCTAATGTCATTTACTTCCGGCTATCTAAGCAGTTCTGCTACCCTATGGCATCATTTCCATAAAAGAGAAAATAGAGGGAGTCCTTGACTTACGGCCACAAGTGGACCCCAAATTTATGCTGCTAAGCAAGCCAAAAAAAAAAAAAAACCCAAGCAAAACTTGAGACAGTCTCCTCCTTTCCCTGTAATCCCCCCCTTCCCGGTTGCACACGATGGGGTTTGGTTCTGGGGAGGAAACCCATCTATCCCCTTCCCCCCCCCTCCGCTCCTGGCAAATAGCACGTGGGGACAAGAGGGCTCAGGGCTCAGTGTGCCCTTCTCCAAAGAATGCTGCACTTCACCCACCCACCTCTGTGCTGGCCACCCCAGCTCCCTCCCCACCCCCCCACCCCTGCCTCTCAATCTATCTATTCTCTATATATCCATCTATCTCTATCTCTATCTCTCTATCTCAGCTCTGTCAGCTCTCTACCTCTGCCTCTATCTCTCTATATTTACATCTATCTACATACCTCTACTTTTACCTCTACCCCCATCTCTGTGTGTATCTCTCTCTATCTCAGCTCTATCAGTTCTCTCTCTGTCTGTCTCTGTCTCTGTCTCTCTACCTCTATCTCTTCCCTCTCTCCCTCCCTCCCTCCCTCCATCTATCTATCATTTTCTCTCTCTCTCTCTCACTATCTATCTCAGCTCTATCAGTTCTCTCTCTCTGTCTGTCTCTGTCTCTATCTCTCTACCTCTGTTAGGTTCAGTTTGTAGCTTACTCCTAACTTGTTGGTCAGGCAATATATCTGTTTCTTTAAGAAACAACTGAGCCACGTAATCAGGGTTTGCTGAACCCTGTAATTAGGCTACAGTGCATAAATAAGCAGCGCAGAGAAGCGTTCGTTCTTCCTGATTTTCCTGTTGCTTCCTGCGTCTTTCTGCTAATTGGTGTTATACTGAATTGTTATGGTACTGTATACCAAGAGTTACTAAAGTCTGTTTGCTTTGGTAATGGAAGATACTTATTGGACTGATACTACTGTTTATGACCTTGGACTGTTTTACCTACACCGAGACTGATTATTATTATTATTATTATTATTATTATATTATATTATTATTATTATTATTATTATTATTATTATTATTTATTAGATTTCTATACCGCCCTACTCCCGAAGGACTCAGGGCAGTGCACAGCCAAACAATAAAAACACATACAATACAAAATTTAAAAAATAGAATAAAATCAAATTAAATAATTTTGGCCCCGACAAATTTAAAACCCCAAACTTTTAAAACCAATTTAAAATTGAATATATAAATACTAAAAGATATTTAAAATTTTAAAAATCTTTTATAAAAGAGGGGGAAAATTAGGCCAGGCCGGCCTGGTGAAATAGTAAGGTCTTTAAGGCGCGGCGGAAGGTGCGCAGATCCGGGATCCTCCGTATCTCTGAGGGGAGCTCGTTCCAGATAGTAGGTGCCCCCACAGAGAAGGCTCTCCCCCTGGGGGCCGCCAGTCGGCATTGTTTGGCTGACGGCACCCGGAGGTGCCCCTCTCTATGGGAACGTACCGGCCGGTGGGAGGCTATTGGTGGTAGTAGGCGGTCCCGCAAGTACCTGGGTCCTAAGCCATGGAGCGCTTTAAAGGTGGTAACCAAAACCTTGAAGTGCACCCGGAAGACCACCGGGAGCCAGTGCAGTTCACGCAGGAGAGGTGTTACATGGGAATGCCATGTCGCTCCCATTACCACCCGCGCGGCCGCACTCTGCGCCAGTTGGAGCCTCCGGGTGCTCCTCAAGGGGAGCCCCATGTAGAGAGCGTTGCAATAGTCCAGGCGGGAGGTGACAAGGGCATGAGTGACCGTGCGTAAAGAGTCCCGATCCAGAAAGGGACGCAACTGGCGAATCAGGCGAACCTGATGAAAAATCCTCCCGGTCACGGCCATCAAGTGCTCTTCTAAAGACAGCCGTGAATCCAGGAGGACGCCCAAGTTGCGAGCCCTCTCCGTGGGGGCCAATGATTCGCCCCCAATAGTCAGTGATGGGGATTTATCTTGTATATAAAGTATTTTTCTCACACGAGCTGCACGTTTATCTCCTTCCCTGTGTGTTTCTGCTCTGCTCGTTGCACAAGCAACAAATACTTTTTACACACACCCTAACAACCTCTATTTCCTCTCTCTCTCCCTCCCTCCTCCATTTATCTATCATTCTCTCTATCTATCTCACTATCTATCTATCTCAGCTCTATCAGTTCTCTCTCTGTCTGTCTCTGCCTCTATCTCTCTACTTCTACCTGTACACACACACTCTCTCTCTTTCTCTCTCTCTCTCCCTCCCTCCCTCTATCTCAGCTCTTCCAGCTCTCTCTCTGTGTCTGTCTCTGCCTGTCTCTCTCTCCTTCCCTCTCATCTCTGTCTCCCCTCCTTACGCCGTAGTACAGCATCCAGCCCACGATCAGCAACACTACAAACGGTCTGGTCCTTCGGAAGTAGGTGGCCGGGTCGTGGGAACGAGCGGCGGACGCTGACCGGGACGCCATTCTCCTCCGGGTTGGCTCTGCCCACGGCTGCCCGAGCCACGGAAGAAAGAAGAGCCTTTGCCAGGCCGGCCCCGGGGAGGAGCCGCTCCACCTTTGCCTCCGCGGAATGGCAGAGCCGGGTCAGGCGAGGATGGGGGGAGGGCGCACGTGGGAATGCCTCCCTCTGGACCCGCCAGGTGGGCGGGTGGGCGGCGGTCACTGTTTGGGGATGATTCCAGCTTCTTTTGAAGCAGTCCGGAGGACGCTAAGCACTGCACGGATTGCTCCGCCTTTTCTCTCCGGAGCGAGCTTTAGTTGGGGGTGGGCTTTTTTAGGGGGGGGGGCGAGAGGGGCGTCCCTCTTTCTATTTTTCTATGAAATTAAAAAAGAAAAAGAATCACTCGTGTGCTTAAGGTAACCCACCTGGCGAGGCAACCAACTTCTCAAGGATCCTGCGTCGGGATTAAATGGATTTTTGGGGAGGGGGCTTTAAATCTGTGTGTCTGTCTGTCTATGTATCTATGTATCCATCTGTCAGAAATGGTGTAGGGTTTCCTGCTTCAGCGGGGGGGGGGGGGGCTGGACTAGATGACCTACAAGGTGCCTTCCAACTCTGTTAATCCACCCACCATCTATCTAGCCATCCATCAATTTATTTGCTTATTTATTTACTTATTTATTTGCTTATTTTATTTAAAAACAATTATTTATGTGTTTGTTTGTTTGACCAGCTTTAGTTCTCCCACTTCCCTTTGTAACAAAGTCATCACAGGTTTTATTTTGGAGATGCATTGTGATTTTTATTGATACTAGAAGGCATCCAAAATACAGAAGTGAACTGACATTTTTATCATATGCTCTCTAGATATTTAACGCTCAAAAATCTAGACCCTTATGGGAAATAGCAACCCCAGACAACCCAATAATTGAAAGATGAAGGTGAGAAACACAAGATCACTATCGCCCATCTTCTCCCACTTATGACTGCCTGACTGTAACTTTGTTCCTTGTACCCTTACGATTTATATTGATTGCTTCCTAGTATGATTTGATTGCTTATTTGTACCCTTTGACTATCATTAAATGTTGTACCTTATGATTCTTGACAAATGTATCTTGTCTTCTTATATACACTGAGAGCATATGCACCAAAGACAAATTCCTTGTATGTACAATCACACTTGGCCAATAAAGAATTCTATTCTATTCTATTCTATTCTATTCTATTCTATTCTATTCTATTCTATTCTATTCTATTCTATTCTATTCTATTCTATTCTATTCTATTCTATTCTATTCTATTCTATTCTATTCTATTCTATTCCATTCCATTCCATCCATTCCATTCTACTCCACTCCACTCCACTCCACTCCACATTCTATTCCTTATTGTCACGAGTGTTTCCAGGATTGCTGTGGCTACCTGCCTACTCACAAACAGTATGGTTTCAATCAAGCCATCTCCTGTTTGTAATTACCTGCAAGCCTTCCCCGCCCTAGTTAATTGCAGGTTAACTCCCCATATAAGCAAGGACCTTTTGCTTGCTACTTGGGCCTAGACTCCTCGTTTAGGCCTAAATGCACAGCTCCTGCAGGAAGCTTAGTGCAACGCCGCAGATGGGAGAAGAATGCAGATAAGGACTCCAGACGCCGTTACAGAGAAACTCCCACGGATGCTTGCCTTTTGCTGTTTTGTAGCACGCAAGCTATCATCGGGACTGCTGTTGCTGGACCTTTTTCCTCCCACAAGCTTCAAGCAATGTTTGCTGTTTGAACTGTTTTTACTTCAGGTGACTTTTAGCTGTGAAGCTTGTGCTGCCCCCATTATGATTGCCTTGATGATGTATCGACGCCGAAGCTGCTTACCTTCATGCTAGCTTTATTCTTTTGTGAACTGTTTCGGTATTGTGGAGAGGGATCTAGGGAGATAGCCTTGCTTCACATACCCAGATAAGACTTTGTTTTTAATGTGTTTTCTTAAAGACATAGTGCTTTTTAAATGTTTTAAAGTAAATTATATTTTTACACAAGACGCCTCTGTCAGAATCATTTCAGTCTCAGTGTGTTTACTCATGAGCTGGTTCACGGTCTGGGGTACCCCTCAACACCATTTCATAACACTTATTCTGTCCTGTCCTGTCCTGTCCTGTCCTGTCCTGTCCTGTCCTATCCTATCCTATCCTATCCTATCCTATCCTATCCTATCCTATCCCCGTAACATTTCTGGAGTGACAAAACAATGCAAGTAAAACATGAAGAAGTAGCATTCTTTAGCATGGCTAAAGAAACCCAAATGTATTCCTCGATTAAATATTCACACAACATACAAGAAATATTGCTATTTCAACAAAATTTAAAAAGAATTAATAGTTCCGCAGAAATGAACGTTCTTTAGTAGGTCTGTGTGAGATGACATTGAAGTGTCTTTAACACTTTGCATTGGGGAAACTCTTGTGTCACATCAAGAGGCGACAGAAAGAAGCTTCAATGGAACACAAGAGTTTTGATCACAGCAAAGCAATGACACAAGCAGTGATCTTCACAACCCCCTCTAGCAGAGGGACTGAATCGAGGATGTCCTTTTGTGTATCAAAATTGTTGGGCAAGCATTTTCCCATTTGGTGTTGCTGGAGCAGCAAGGATGAGGAGCGCTGTGAGGAACGACCGAGCAAAGTGACTTCAACCTTACAAGCAACGAGGACACATGGCTTAGTAAACCTCCTTTGCTAAAACTTCTGCTGAAGCAGAACATCCTTTCTAAAGTTTACAACATCTACTATGATACTACATTTCAACTGCAAATGTTTGTGCTTCCTTTAATCAATAGCCCTGAGATCTGGATTTGCTCAGAGCAGTAGAAATCCAGAGCCTAAACCGTTTGAAGAAGAGAAGATATTCTGAATTAATTGAACTTCACACCACGTGTTCTGACCCAGGTCACCTAGGCAGGGGCAGGCTTCGACAAAGCCCTTTGTTGCTCTGTTAAATTATACCACAAGTTGGTAAGCAGTGATGGGTTGCTACTGGTTCGCCTGGTTTGGTCGAACCGATAGCGGCGGCGGCAGGAGGCTCTGCCCATCCACCCAGATGTCATCAAAAATGCTCTGTGCATGCGCAGAACCTTCTGTGCATGCGCAGAAGCACCGCAGGCTCGCAAAGCAAGTGTGCGCACCCGCATGCTGCGGATAGCGAACTGGTAGCGCCGGGATCTGAAACCCACTATTGCTGCATCCCAAACTTCGCTGCAGGTAGCCACCCACAGTCCCACGAACAAAAGCAAGTAAGCAACAAAACCAATTTATAAAAGCAGAGAGGAAGTCCAAAGACAAGGTGCAAGCTCACAGGGTAAGGTCCAGAGTTAAGGTCCACAGGACAAGGCAAGTCCACAAGGCAAAGGCACAGGCAGAAACACCAGTCAAGGCTGAGTTTTTCCAAAGCCTGGGGAGCGCAAACCAAAACAATTGTTCCTGAGAAAGACAAATTCCCCCAGCTTCTGGCTTAAGTCAACCCACACGTGTTATGTCAGGTTTTTGCAGCAAAGCTGACATCCTGAAGGGGAGGGGGGATGCTTCTTGGGGCCGATTGCTTTGAATGCTTTCGCTTTTGCTGTAACCGCATGGGAATTAGAGAAGGGAACTGGGCCATCAGGATGGATTCCCTCCCAGCCGATTCCAGCCCGTTACCCAAGGCTGCGACACCCCGAGGATGACTTGTTATCACCATCCTGCCTCAGAGTTCTCAGAACACCTTTGCAGGATCTGGTAGACATGGGGCCCCGGGTGAGAGTTGAACAAGGGAAATTAGCTTAACGCTTTGCATGGGAATCTGCAGACTCTGCCTGACTTATTTCTCTGCAACCGCTTCTCTCAGTAAAAGTACCATTTGAGAGTCATGCTTTCCTGAGAAGATAGCTGAGGCAGGTCCTTATGAGGAGGGGCGGGGTGACCTTCTCCTAAGCAGTCTCGCAGACCTCCTTTGGGCTTGCCTCTGCTCTACTCTTCGTGCCCTGGATCAAATGGGGGAGGCAGCTGTTCCTTATCAAAGGGGATCTGCTGCCTATCAGCACCACTGCCTGTCTCTAAGGACAGGCAGCTCCCCGTCTGGTTAACAACCTCCCCCAATGCCTCAGGGGCCTGGGACAGCATCGTCCTCAGCCCCCTGGCCTCTCCAAACATTCCCAGGGAGACGTGCCATCCCTGTCGGATGGTCCTGGTTCAAACTCCTCCTCCTCCTCCTCTGACCAGGATCCGCTGGGGCCATGACACTACATTTGTGGTTGTAAGTTGAGTTAGAGCATTTATGTTGCTTTTTTCCTCTTATGCCCTTGAAAATAAAACCTGCCCCATCCAACCCAATGCCCAAAGATTTTCTGCCTTTTAGACCGCCAAATTCAGACTGGCCCAATTTAAAGATTGCTTTGTCATAATATTTGAAAAGCACAATTCTGCTTCAAAGTCTCAAAGGGCTGCAGATTGTTAACAATGCAACACTTCTGCCCTATCTAATTTTCTTAGGAGCCACCGCTTCGAACTCTGCAGAACTTTGGTGAGTCAACACAAAAAGGACAAGACAAGAGACAGGTTATACTCTCAAGCAAGGTCAAGCAAAGGCAAACTACACTATTTGCAAGTTGCTGGGTACCCAACAGGACTCTTGAACATGGAACCTACTCCTGGCCCAAAGAAAACCATGATTAAACCCAAGAAGAAGCTGATATACCGAGCGGGAAAATTGGGTCAAAGTAAAAAGGCAAGGCTGCCAGGATAGGGCTGATTTTTTGGGTCTCCCGGGCGACCCCCAGCTTTTTGGGTACCCGGGACCGGTTCCATGGAGAGAGATTTTTCTGTGCACTGGAGGGGCTGCTGAACCTTTTATCTACAAGGAATAGAATTTTAGGAATAGAAAAAATAGCTGAATAGTTTAAACTGATTAACCAGATTATAAACAAGTTAGTAGAGAAAAATGTGGTTTTACATTGCAAGCGACTTTATTAGCGCCATGATAAAAACAAAAAGAGCATTTCATTAGAATTGTGAGAAATGTTGCTTAACTGGGTTAACTCATTTCTGAGTTTTTAAAAATATCCTGCTGGGACCAGCCAGATAAAATAATCTGGCTGTGTTTTTCTCCAACCAAGTATAAATTTCAGTACCACGGATGGGGCTTCCCTTTTTTTTTTGCTTGGCCCGGTGGCTAGCATGCCGCAGCCTGGGGCCAGTCCATGGGCTGGAAGTTGGAGACCCCTGTTCTAGAGAACAGTTTCATCTATTTATTGCTCTCTGTCCTCTGTTGGCCTCTACATGCAAATATAAAGTCCCATTGACCTACTGCAGTTAATAAGGTAGCAAGTGAAGGAAATACTAACAGAGCAGCATAAGGCACCTATTGTAGGCTGAATCTGTTGTCCGATCTGACAACAATATTATTGTCCTGATCCATACAGGTAGTCCTCTACTTACAACCAAAATTGAATCAAAATTCATGTTGCTCAGGGAGTAATTTGTTGAGGAAGTTTTGCCCCATTTTATGACTTTTCTTGCCATGTTTGTTAACTGAATCACTGCAGTTCTTAATAGCAATAGCAATAGCACTTAAGACTTCTATACCGCTTTACCATGCTTTACAGCCCACTCTAAGGGATGTTAGAGAGTCAGCATCTTGCCCCCTAATTAATTAAATTAGTAACAGGGTTGTTACGCGAATCTGGTTTTCCCTGTTGACTTCGCTTGTCAGAAGGTTGCAAAAAAAGGTTATTACATGACCTGCGATTATCGTAAATGTGAGTCCAAATGTAAATCACGTGACCACAGTGCTGCAATGGTCGTAAGTGTGAAAAATTGTCGTAAGTCGCTTATTTCAGTGCCGAGGTAAGTGGACAGCTGTAAGTCGAGGACTACATCTATTGAAAACAGGATTATTTCCCAAAATTAACACTGTAACAGCTCTTACCCTAACCCCGAGGTCTCTTTTTATCATTAAATACAGAATAGAAAATGTAAGATACCGTATTTTTTTGGAATATAAGACACACTTTTTTGTCTCCCAAAAGGGGGTGTCTGTGCATCTTATAGACCGAATACTGCCAAAACCCTACCCACCCACTGGCTGTTTTTTGGCCTCCGTACGGCCCGTTTTTGAGCCTTTTTTCGGCCCATTTTCAAAGCTATCTGGCTGACAGATCCAGTGTCAGCTGACAGATTTTCAACCAAAAAAAAGCAGAGAAAATGGGCTGAAAAAAGGCTCAAACACGAGCCAAAAAAAAGGCTCAAAAAAGCCCTCAAAAATGGGCCAAAAAAAAGCCTAAAAAACAGGCTGAAAAAAGCCCCCAAAACAGAACGGAAAAAGGCCGGAAAAAAGGGCCGAAAATGGGGTTCACGGAAGCCAAAAACTTTTTGTTGTTTTTCTCTTCTAAATTTAGATGTGACTTATAGTCTGAAAAATACGGTACTACTATCTTTGAACAGCAGGTCTTCTGTAAGAAGGTGAGAATTTTCTATTCCCTTTTTAAAATGTGATTTCTGCTTTATCAACTTACAAGTTTATCACCAGGGTGCCCCAATACCAAAGGGTGGCTTTTTTCAGTCAAATGCCAAAATACGGAGAGATCCTTCGGTGTTAAGGGCAATATCATCCCGTTTCTGTTTCCTTTTCCAGTTCCAATTCTTCATTGGGTTTTCTTGGGTGGCTTGTAAACCAGCAGAAAATAAAGTGAAAAGATGCCACACACCAACGTTTGAATGAACCACCGAAGCTGCGTCTTGCTGTCCGTGATGCCTTTCTTACTGTGAGGAAAAAAGAGGGAAATTCCACAATATTTATTTAGTTGGGAAAATGGTTCAAGCTTAACTAAAGTTGCGTGATCTTCGGCGCTTATTCTGCAATCAAAAAAACAAGCTGCTAACATCCTTCTCGAGTATTCACAGCGTGGACCGCAATTCCCAGTTACAAAACCTATTTTGGATCTGAATATAAACCTGGATGAAGGTTATTTTACTTATTCTTCTTATTCTGCACTGATATTTGCACTGCTGATGTTACCTACCATATTTTTCAGACTATAGGACGCATCTAAATTTAGAAGAGAAAACAACAAAAAAAAACATTTTTGGCCTCTGTGAGTCCCATTTTTGGGCCTTTTTTTGGGCCTTTTTTTTGTCCTTTTCAAGCCTTTCTTTGGCCCATTTTCAAGGCTTTTTGGGGGGGGCATTTTTGAGCCTTTTCTTGGCCCATATTTTAGTCCTTTTTGGCCGGTTTTTTTCAAAAAAATGGGCTGATAAAAGCCTCAAAAATGTGCTGAAAAAAGCCTCAAAAATGGGCTGAAAAAAGCCCTGAAAACAGACTGAAAAGGGCCTGAAAAAGGCCGAAAAAAGGCCCGAAAAGAGGCCGAAAAATGGCCAGCGGATGGGCAGAGCTTAGGCAATATTTGGTCTATACGATGCACAGACATTTTCACCCTCTTTTGGGAGACAAAAAAGTACATCTTATAGTCCAAAAAATACGGTAGTTTGGCAATGAAACATCTGCCAGAAAACCACCAAGAACCCAAGTCTTCTTCTTCTGCTGCTCCTTCTTGTATAACCCAACTTCTCACCCTGCTTATGTTTTCAGATCAATTCCTTAGAGGGGGACTGCATTAATTATTGGTTAGCAACCCACAGAGAATCAACCGAGTTGTGAATATGTTTTCGTGCAACGAGAACACACTGGGTTGGGTGAGTAATTGCTTCTATTGGCTTAGATGAAGGATGGGAATGAAATGAACTGCAAGTTGAATATAATGTTGCAAAAGAGGGTTGTGAAAACACACAAAGGTGTCTTCTGCATTTTGCACACTCCACCTTCTATTGAGTAAGATATCTCCTCCAGAGGAATTTGTTCAACTCTGGCTCTCCTCAACCGAGATCAGCTACCTGTTCTTTCCTATCTGGACCATCTCCATGTAACACTGACCAATTTTAGACTTGATATCACCATATTTTGTTTACACCTCCAAGCTTGCAATGAAAGTACAGTCGTTCTCGACTTACAACAGTTTGTTGAGTGACCATTTGACACTGAAATAAAAAGTGATTTAGGCTCATTTGTCACACTTACGACCATTGCTGCATCCCCAGGGATTAAAATTCAGATTCCTGGCAACTGACTCACATTTATGATGGTTGTAGTGTCCCAGGGCTACCTGATCCTCTTTTGATGACTGTCTGACAAGCCAAGCCAATGGGGGACCCAGGTTCACGTAAGAACCCTGTTACTAACTTAACCTTTGCAGTGATTCACTTAACAACTGTGGCATGAAAGCTCGTAAAAGGGGGCAAAGGTCATTTAACAACTGCCTCACTTAGCAACAGAAATTTTGGGCTCAATTGTGTTCATAAGTCAAGGACTTATCTATATTGGAATGGAAAATCATATTATTTCTGAATATTTTCCATCCATCTATGCCATGATTAACGTGGGAGTCCTTTCTGCAAGCTTTTAGTTATGGGAGGCAATGTCCCTCACTCAGATACCAAATAAGACAGACCCAGATTGCAACGTATATTTAGGACTGCAGGAAAAACAGCTGCAACCAGACTGCCTTCGATTGAGGACCTCTATACTGCATGAGCCAGAAAGAGGGCTGTGAAAATATTTACAGACCCCTCACATCCTGGACATAAACTGTTTCAACTCCTACCCTCAAGACAACGCTATAGGGCACTGCACATCAAAACAACCAAACACAAGGAAAGTTTTTCCACCCCATGCCATCCCTCTGCTAAACAACAAATTCCCACAACACGGTCTTATGCCCTGGGATGTCAAACCACCTAATAAGGCTGTATTAACCATTAGTCTCCTTATCTTTTCATCTTTCCTATTATCTACTTCCTTAGCTTCTTATGACTATAACTTTGTTGTGTGTATCTTATGATTTATGTTGATTGCTTTTAGAGTATCCGATTAAGATTTCTTGTGCCCTTCGATGTTAAATCATCTAATAAGAGCACCCAGAAACTACAGACGGTCCAGAATGCGGCCGCGCAGATAGTGACAGTAGCTGCATGGCGCTCCCACATAACACCTCTCCTGCGTGAGCTGCACTGGCTCCCAGTGGTCTTCCGGGTGCGCTTCAAGGTGTTGGTTATCACGTTTAAAGCGCTCCATGGCATAGGACCTGGATACCTTCGAGACCGTCTGCTGCCACCAACGACCTCCCACCGACCGGTGCGCTCCCACAGAGAGGGCCTCCTCAGGGTGCCATCGGCCAAGCAATGTAGACTGGTGGCCCCCAGGGGGAGGGCCTTCTCTGTGGGGGCACCTGCTCTCTGGAATCAACTGCCCCCAGAGATACGAAGAATTCAAGACCTCGGTGCCTTCCGCCGTGCCCTGAAGACCTTCCTTTTTCAGCAAGGCGGGCTGGCTTAATGCTTTTTAAATGTTTTTAATATGTTTTGTTATTGTTTTTTTAACTTTGGGGCCAAATTTATATATATCTTTTTAAATTGTTTTTAATGTTTGTATCTATGTTTTTTACTTTGGCTGTACACCGCCCTGAGTCCTTCGGGAGAAGGGCGGTCTATAAATTTGATAATAAATAAATAAATAAAATAAGGCTGTATCGCCTATTATCCTTCTCATCTTTCCTATTATCTACTTCCTTAGCTTTTTATGACTATAACTTTGTTGTGTCTATCTTATGATTTATGTTGATTGCTTTTACTTAGTATCCGATTATGATTTTTGCCGATTGCTTATTTAGTATCCTATGACTATCACTTTGTACTCCCAATTTGTACTTCTTTTTTCTATTCTGCATCCTATTCTGTTCTGCTCTATTCTATTCCGTTTTATATTCTGTTCACAAAGATTATTTCTAGATGTAGTAAACTACCGTGCCAACCCAACTCAAAGTGTGCCACCTTCAACTCCTGAAGAAGTTAGGAGAACTTACTTGCATAACCAGATACTCAAACACGCTTCACCGATATGAAGTAACCAAGTCACCGCATATCTGTAATTAAGAAAAACGGCACCAGAGTGTCAGAGAATTCATGACTGGCAGAGACATGGTAACAAGGTCAGCCAATGAATAGGCATAGCAATTCGATCAGCCAATGGGGACTGCTTGGAAACTGAAACTAGTCTGCTGAATTGAAACTGAAATTCATTTCTGCTGTTCTCTCATCTGCCTGTGCTTTTTGCCTGTAACTATCACGTTGGAAGAATCTGCTTTTGGTATTGTATGTGTTATTATGTACCATATTTTTCAGAGTATAAGACGCTCCGGACTATAAGACACACCTACCTTTTTCGGTGAGGAAAACAAGAAAAAGAAATCTGCCTCTGCCTCATCAATTTTGCCTCGTTACAGCAAACAGCCTGCTTTATTTTCATTTTTGTTTTCAGTATAGCTTGATTAGCACAAGAAAAAAAATCTTCTCCCAGCAATTTTCCTCCTTGCAGCAAGCAGCAGAGGCCCGCACATCAATAGGCAATGGCAATCCCTGCAGCCTGAAACAGCTGACCGTCGGGAGGCCAATCCAATGGACAATCAACTTGTGCTAATTAGGCTGTGCTGAAGCTGAAATGGGCTGTTTCTTCTTGCTGCTTGTTGCAAGGAGGTAAATTGCTGGGAGGCAGAGGCCAAAGGGTGGGAGCCAGTGGGTGGGTCTGGCTACATTCAGTAAATAAGACACACCCAAATTTTTACCCCCTTTTAGGGGGGGGAAATGTGCATTTTATACCCCGAAAAATACAGTATATAAAGAGAAGTTAATGAATCCTGCTGAATCAGTTACCTGTGTGTGCTTTCTGGATTTGATTTTTGCAACAAACTCTGACAAAGAGTTGTCAAGAATAAATTAGATGTCAGTTCAGAAAAGGGAAAGGGTGAAACTCTCCCTCGGGTCTCAATAATTCATAAGGTTATAAAGTGATTCAAATTCAAAAACAAAACAAAAAAGGGTTACAGAGGCAACACCTTAAAAAACAAGTCACAACTTTTCTTGGACTTGTCCAGCATATGAAGCTTGGGTGTGTTTATTCCTCTTAATCTTTCTTTTCCAAATTCAGATTATTGCCATGCTAATTGATATAGTTGTGTTGTGAGATATGTCTGTGAGAACATCCCAGCTGCTCTGGATTCAATATTTATTTGAAAGAAAACCAATTCTTAAAGCCAAATATACCGGGAGTCACCCACTATTGGGTGATGGGTTACACAGACTGAATATCTACACTCACTTGGCAAGTCTTTTTTTTTTGCTATCTTCCCCAGAAGTCTTCTACAGAAGCATTCTTAAGGCTGAAGCATTCCTAAATTTGATTCCTCAACTTTGAATTTCTCTAACTCCTGCCATGACCAGAATTTGGTCTTGCTTCTCTAGGAGGTTGAATGAGTCAGCATTGGCGCAGGTTCTAGATTTCTTCTGTCTTCTGGTCAATTGTGACCATGGAATTTGCCTTGTTATTTGGCCTCAAGTGATTGGAAAAGTTTAGTGAACTGGAGGCATCAGTTAAGAAAAGGAAGGGAAGGGCTAAGAAGGAAAAAGGCCTGAAGGGGAGTAGGTGGAAAAAGGAAGAGAAGGGGAAGTGTGTGTCCCAGATTGTCCTGCAAAACTCCTCTGGGATCTGTCCATATTTGATGGAACTCAGAAAACCATTTTGAGTTTTGTTTCTGATGACTTCCAAAACACCATGTTTGATCATAGAAACATATTTCTATGTTCTGTGTTGGGATGGCTTGACCTCAAAACATCATTCTGGGTTAAAAAAAATCTTTGATTTCCATTATTCTCCATAATCCTAGACTTTCCAAAACTCGGTTTCAAAATCCAGAAGACAAGACACTGCTAAGAATTCTGAATGTCGCAATAAACACCTCTGGAAGTTGGGAAATACTGCCCCAAACTGATCAGAGCCCAGCTTTCTCTTGGCAAAGGTAACCAGCTTTCTCTTCTTGCAACAGGACAGTTCGTTGAATTGCTATCCGTCAAGCATGTGTTAAAATTCCAGTTAAGCTGGTTATTATTGTTCATGCCTATAGACAAAAATCTGGTCACCTAAGGTCAGCACTAAATTGGTATTCGATAAGATTTAACAGAATTCAAGAGGATGGGACATCGACCATTATTTGTGGAAATGTAATGACTCCAGGCTGATAGCTCTCTTGACTCTGCCTTAGCGCTCTGTCTGTCCTTCTCCTATACCGTCCTAAAAACGTTGTCTTCTGCAGCAAGACAAGCTGTCTAAAGATGCACATTACTTGGGTAATGCCTGCCTGTTTCCTGACCATCTGGAAACCAAGTTTCCTGCATGTCCATATAAACATCTGGCTTATTATGAGCCGTGGTGACGCAGTTATTAGAATGCAGTATTGCAGTCAAACTTTGCCCACAGTTCGATGAACTATGAAGTTCGATACTGACCAGCTTGAGGTTGACTCAGCTTTCCATCCTTCTGAGATCAGTAAAATGATGACCAAGATTGTTGGGGGCAATAGGCTGACTCTGTAAATGGCTTAGAGAGAGCTGTAATACACTGTAAAGCGGTATATAAGTCTAAGTGCTATTGTTATTGATTCAACCTTCCATCCTTCCGAGTTCGGTAAAATGAGGACCCAGATTGTTTGGGGGCAAAATGCTGACTCTATAAACCACTTAGAGAGGGCTGCAAAGCACGGTGAAGCGGTATATAAGTCTAAGGGCTTTGGCTATTCAGCGGTGAAAGGAACTTACCTTCGTTACTGGTTCGAGAATGTGAGCATGGGCGCCTCTTCTGCGCATGCGCAGAGCCTTCTGCAAATGTGCAGAGGGTCAAAAATGGGATGTAATGATGTCCTGGCAGGTAGGTGGAGCCTCCCACCGCCGGTGCTACCGGTTCGCGCGAGATGGATAGATCCGGTCAGATTTCACCGCTGTGGCTATTGCTATTGGCCAAATAGCCTCTACAAGGAACGTGTGTCCCCAAATGTTGAAGTCAACTTACCCTACATGGAAAACAGGTTTGTGGTTCTCCTGCAGATATTGTGTGAATTTTCCTAACGGACCCAGACCATCATAGGGGATTCTTGAAGGTGCCAAGACAGCACACTGAAGAGGGAAAAGGGAAGGTTGGTTTTATTAGCACTACTCAAGCTTCTCCCCAGATTGTTCCAATTTGCACACCGGTTCCTTTTTCATTCCCCTTGTCATCTTCACAACCAAATTTAAAGGGGAGTAAGAAAAGAGGTTCTGCTGTTATACTTTACATAACCTGTACACAATTGTACAAACCAACAACACTTTTTTTTTAAAAAAAAAAGGACATGGTTTATATAATGTGCACTTTTCTAGAATGGGGGAATTCAGCAAACCAAGATAATCCATCGATAGAAGATGACAATAATACTGTGTTTCCCTGAAAATAAGACCCTGTCTTGGCTATAGTCTAAAGAAAAGAAGAATAAGGGGTGACATGATAGCAGTCACTCAATATTTGAGGGGCTGCCACAAAGAAGAGGGGGTCAAATTATTCTCCAAAGCATCAGAAAGCAGGACAAAAAACAATGGTTGGAAACTAATCAAAGAGAGAAGCAACCTGGAATTAAGGAGAAACTTCCTGACAGTGAGGACAATTAACCAGTGGAACAACTTGCCTTCAGAAATCACGGATGCTCCATCACTGGACGCTTTTAAGAAGAGACTGGACAGTCACTTATCTGAGATGGTATAGGTTCTCCTGCTTGAGCAGAGGGCTGGACTAGAAGACCTCCAAGGTCCCTTCCAGCTCTGTTCTACTCTATTCTCTGTGACTTGGGTCACAGAGAAACAAACACACATTATTTTATTATTTAGCGTATGGCAAATACGTGGACTTGGCAAAAACATTCGAACATGGTTTAAATGTTAACATCCAGTCCACCCAGCCATTCAAAGACAAACACACAAAGGCAGATAAACTAAATTTCCTAATGTCATTTACTTCCGGGCTATCTAAGCAGTTCTGCTACCCTATGGCATCATTTCCATAAAAGAGAAAATAGAGGGAGTCCTTGACTTACGGCCACAAGTGGACCCCAAATTTATGCTGCTAAGTAAGACCCCCCCCAAAAAACCCAAGCAAAACTTGAGACAGTCTCCTCCTTTCCCTGCAATCCCCCCCTCCCCGGTTGCACACGATGGGGTTTGGTTCTGGGGAGGAAACCCCTCTGTCCCCGTCCTCCCTGCTCCTGGCAAATAGCACGTGGGGACAGGAGGGCTCAGGGCTCAGTGTGCCCTTCTCCAAAGAATGCTGCACTTCGCCCACCCACCTCTGTGCTGGCCACCCCAGCTCCCTCCCCAGCCCCCCAGCCCTGCCTCTCTATCTATCTATTCTCTATATATCCATCTATCTCTCTCTCTTTATCTCAGCTCTGTCAGCTCTCTACCTCTGCCTCTATCTCTCTATATTTACATCTACCTACATACCTCTACTTTTACCTCTACCCCCCTATCTCTGTGTCTATCAGTTCTCTCTCTGTGTCTGTCTCTGTCTCTGTCTCTGTCTCTATCTCTCTACCTCTATCTCCTCTCTCTCTCTCTCCCTCCCTCCCTCCATCTATCATTCTCTCTATCTATCTCACTATCTATCTCAGCTCTATCAGTTCTCTCTGTCTGTCTCTGCCTCTATCTCTCTACTTCTATCTCTACACACACACTCTCTCTCTTTCTCTCCCTCCCTCCCTCTATCTATCTATCATTCTCTCTCTCTATCTTTCTCAGCTCTTCCAGCTCTCTCTCTGTGTCTGTCTCTGCCTGTCTCTCTCTCCCTCCCTCTCGTCTCTCCCCTCCTTACGCCGTAGTACAGCATCCAGCCCACGATCACCAACACTACAAACGGTCTGGTCCTTCGGAAGTAGGTGGCCGGGTCGTGGGAACGAGCGGCGGACGCTGACCGGGACGCCATTCTCCTCCGGGTTGGCTCTGCCCACGGCTGCCCGAGCCACGGAAGAAGAAGAGCCTTTGCCAGGCCGGCCCCGGGGAGGAGCCGCTCCGCCTTTGCCTCCGCGGAATGGCAGAGCCGGGTCAGGCGAGGATGGGGGGAGGGCGCACGTGGGAATGCCTCCCTCTGGACCCGCCAGGTGGGCGGCGTTCACTGTTTGGGGATGATTCCAGCTTCTTTTGCAGCAGTCCGGAGGACGCTAAACACTGCACGGATTGCTCCGCCTTTTCTCTCCGGAGAGAGCTTTAGTTGGGGGGGGGGCTTTTTAAGGGGGGGGGCGGCGAGAGGGGCGTCCCTCTTTCTATTTTTCTATGAAATTTAAAAAGAAAAAGAATCACTCGTGTGCTTAAGGTAACCCACCTGGCGAGGCAACCAACTTCTCAAGGATCCTGCGTCGGGATTAAATGGACTTTTGGGGAGGGGGCTTTAAATCTATCTGTCTGTCTGTCTGTCTATGTATCTATGTATCCATCTGTCAGAAATGGTGTAGGGTTTCCTGCTTCAGCGGGGGGCTGGACTAGATGACCTACAAGGTGCCTTCCAACTCTGTTAATCCACCCACCCATCTATCTAGCCATCCATCAATTTATTTGCTTATTTATTTACTTATTTATTTGCTTATTTTATTTAAAAAGAATTATTTATGTGTTTGTTTGTTTGTTTGTTTGTTTGTTTGTTTGTTTGTTTGTTTGTTTGTTTGTTTGTTTGTTTGACCAGCTTTAGTTCTCCCACTTCCCTTTGTAACAAAGTCATCACAGGTTTTATTTTGGAGATGCATTGTGATTTTTATGGATACTAGAAGGCATCCAAAATACAGAAGTGAACTGACATTTTTATCATATGCTCTCTAGATATTCAACGCTCAAAAATCTAGACCCTTATGGGAAATAGCAACTCCAGACAACCCAATAATTGAAAGATGAAGGTGAGAAACGCAAGATCACTATCGCCCATCTCCTCCCGCTTATGACTGCCTGACTGTAACTTTGTTCCTTGTACCCTTACGATTTATATTGATTGCTTCCTAGTATGATTTGATTGCTTATTTGTACCCTATGACTATCATTAAATGTTGTACCTTATGATTCTTGACAAATGTATCTTGTCTTTTTATATACACTGAGAGCATATGCACCAAAGACAAATTCCTTGTGTGTCCAATCACACTTGGCCAATAAAGAATTCTATTCTATTCTATTCTATTCTATTCTATTCCATTCCATTCCATTCCATTCCACTCCATTCCACTCCACTCCACTCCACACTCCACTCCACTCCTTATTCTATTCCTTATTCTGTCCTGTCCTGTCCTGTCCTATCCTATCACCGTAACATTTCTGGAGTGACAAAACAATGCAAGTAAAACATGAAGAAGTAGCATTCTTTAGCATGGCTTGACAATAAACCCAAATGTATTCCTAGATTAAACATGCACACAACATACAAGAAATATTGCTATTGTTTCAACAAAATTTAAAAAGAATTAATAGTTCCGCAGAAATGAATGTTCTTTAGTAGGTCTGTGTGAGATGACATTGAAGTGTCTTTAACACTTTGCATTGGGGAAACTCTTGTGTCACATCAAAAGGTGACAGAAAGAAGCTTCAATGGAACACAAAGAGTTTTGATCGCAGCAAAGCAATGACACAAGCAGTGATCTTCACAACCCCCTCTAGCAGAGGAACTGAATAGAGGATGTCCTTTTGTGTATCAAAATTGTTGGGCAAGTATTTTCCCATTTGGTGTTGCTGGAGCAGCAAGGATGAGGAGGGCTGTGAGGAATGACCGAGCAAAGTGACTTCAACCTTACAAGCAAGGAAGACACGTGGCTTAGCAAACCTCCTTTGCTAAAACTTCTGTTGAAGCAGAACATCTTTTCTAAAGTTTACAACATCTCCTATGATACTACACTTCAATTGCAAATGTTTGTGCTTTCTTTAACCGATAGCCCTGAGATCTGGATTTGCTCAGAGCGATAGAAATCCAGAGCCTAAATGATTTGAAGAAGGGAAGATACTCTGAATTAATTGAACTTTACCCACATGTTCTGACCCAGGTCCTCTAGGCAGAAGCAGGCTTCGAAAGAGTCCTATGTTGCTCTGTTAAATTACACCGCAAATGGCCTTACAATGGTTGGAAAGGCTGCACCAGGGGTGAAATCTATTTACCTTCCCTACCGGTTCGGAAGTGCGCACGCATGCGCCATCTTCATGTCCGATTTTGGACCCTCTGTGCATGTGCAAAGCCTTCTGTGCATGTGCAGAGGATCAAAAACAGGATTAAAACCAGGAAGTAATGACGTCCGGGCTGCTGCTGCTACTGGTTTACCCGAATCGGAGCGAACCGGTAGCATTTCACCCCTGGGCTGCACCCCAAACTTCCCTGCAGATAGCCGCCCACAGTCCCACAAACATAAACAAATAAGCAACAAAACCAATTTGCAAAAGCAAAGAGGAAGTCCACAGAGAAGGTGCAAGCTCACAGGATAAAGTCCAGAGTTAAGGTCCACAAGACAAGGCAAGTCCACAAGGCAAAGGCACAGGCAGAAACACCAGTCAAGGCTGCGTTTTGCCTCGGAGTTCTCGTAACACCTTTGCGACATCATATTGGCCACTGGACATGGGGCACTGGGTGGGATTTGAACAGGGGAAATTAGCTTAATGCTTTGTGCGGGAATCTCCAGACTCTGCCTGACTTACTTCTCTGCAACCGCTTCTCTCAGTAAAAGTACCATGTGAGACAGTGGTGAAATCCAAATTTTTTTACTACTGGTTCTGTGGGCGTGGCTTGGTGGGCGTGGTGTGGCTTGGTGGGCGTGGCAGGGGAAGGATACTGCAAAATCTCCATTCTCACCCCACTCCTGGGGGAAGGATATTGCAAAATCTCCATTTCCACCCTACTCTGGGGCCAGCCACAGGTGGTATTTCCTGGTTCTCCGAACTACTCAAAATTTCCGCTACCGGTTCTCCAGAACCTGTTAGAACCTGCTGGATTTCACCCCTGATTTGAGAGTCATACTTTCCTGAGAAGATAGCTGAATCCGAATGTAAATCACATGACCACAGTGCTGCAACGGTCGTCAGCGTGACAAATGGTCGAAAGTTGTTTTTTCAGTGCCCTTGTAACTGCGAAGGGTCACTAAGCAAACTGTTGTAAGTCAAGGATTACCTGTATTGTAAACAGGATTATTGCTCCAAATGAACAGTGTAGCAGCTCTTACCCTAATACCAAGGTCTCTTTTTATTACTAAACACAGAATTAAAAAATTCAAGATACTTTCTATCTTTGAACAGCAGATCATCTGTAAGAAGGTGAGAACTTTTGATTCCCTATTTAAAATGTGATTTCCGCTTTATCAACTCATAAATTTATCACCAGGGTGCCTCAACACCAAGTTGTGGGGGTTTTTTTGTTTTTTTGTTTTGGTCTTTCCAGGTAACAGTGAAAGGTGTTTTCAGTCAAATGCCAAAATACGGAGAGATCCTTCGGTGTTAAGGGCAATATCATCCCATTTTTGTTTCTGATTTCTTTTCCAGTTCCAATTCTTCATTGGGTTTTCTTGGGTGGCTTGTAAACCAGCAGAAAATAAAGCGAAAAGAGGCCGCACAGCAACGTTTGAACGAACCACCGAAGCTGCGTCTTGCTCTCCGTGATGCCTTTCTTACTGCGAGGAAAAGAGAGGGAAATTCCACGTTATTTATTTAGTTGGGAAAATGGTTCAAGCTTAAATAAAGTTGTGTGATCTTCGGCGCTTATTCTGCGATCAGAAAAACAAGCTGCTAACATCCTTCTCGAGTATTCACAGTGTGGACCGCAATTCCCAGTTACAAAACCTATTTTGGATCTGAATATAAACCTGGAAGAAGGTTCTCTTACTTATTCTTATTCTGCACAGAAAATTGCACTGCTGATGTGGTAATGAAGCGTCTGCAAGAAAACAACCAAGCTCAGAGAGCACCAAGGGCCAATGTCAACTTGCAAAGCTTTCAAGTTGCCATACGCAGCAGGGAGGGAGAACAGATGGAGCTGATTGATTTCCCTAACTGAAATTGCATTCCACAGATGCTTTTCTACTGCAATCAGTAGGAGAGTTTTGGGTTTCACAGCTAGCCAATGTGGTTAATTGGAGAATGTGATTTATGACATGGCCAGGGAGGAGGGGAGAGATAGGATCACAGGGGAACGTAAATCTACGTAGGATTAGTTCTAACTGCATCCGAATAATGCTGAAATGGTGCTCCTAATAAATGACTTATTTCTTTTGAAGTTTAGCTCATGGCTCATCAATTAATTAGGGCATCTTTCAGAAACTTCACAGCCTGATGATGTTATGTAGCTTGGTAATGAAACGTCTGACCTAAACGACCAAGGACTCCACAGTCTTCTTCTGCTGCTCCTTCTTGTATAACCCAACTTCTCATCCTGCTTATGTTTTCAGATCAATTCCTTGGAGTGGGACTGCATTAATTATTGGTTAGCAACCCGCAGAGAATCAACCAAGCTGTGAATGTGTTCTCATGCAACGAGAACACACTGGGTTGGGCGAGTAATTGCTTCTATTGGCTCAGATAATGTTGTGGCCCACCGGCAGCCAGTGGAGCTGGCAGCAGACAGTGAGGAGGTTGGGGAGCAACATGGGCCAGTCCTGAGGTCTGGGGAAAGCTCGGAGGAGGACTCTGTGTCAGAGACAGAGATGGGGCTAGGCAGCAGTGAAGCAGAGGAACAGCTGGAGCCTGTTCTCAGTGTGTGCATGTGCAGAGCTGCCAGAAGACAAGAAACACTAAGAAAGCAGGGTCAACTTGGGAGTAAAGCCACACCTTGGAGGTGATTGGCCCCTCCCATAGGAAACAAAAGAGGAGCGAACTTGGAACGGGCTTTTGCAGGAAAAAAATTGGACGGTTAAAGAGTGGAAAGTTCTGTTTATGACTCTAAGACACTCTGTGCCAAGTATTGCCTTGCCCTGCATTTGGAAACTAGTTATCTGCCAGCTTTCCAAGCGAGATAAGGTTTGTGTTGATAAATATTCCTCTGAAAGACTGTTTGCCAGGCCTTGCTGACTGTGAATGAAAGGAATTCACAGTCGTGTAAATAAAAGGGGTTTTGCCGGGACCAAGACTCTGCCTTATGCTTTTTAAGGAAGATTAGGTCAGAACAGAGAAAGGATGGGATGGAAATGAACTGCAAGATGAATATAATGTGGCAAAGCAGGTTGTGAAACCACACAAAGGTGCATTTTGCACACTCCACCCTCTATTGAGTAAGATATCTCCTCCAGAGGAACTTGTTCGGCAGGTCAACTCTGGCTCTCCTCAACCGAGATCAGCTACCTGTTCTTTCCTATCTGGACCATCTCCATGTAACACTGACGAATTTTAGATTTGATGTCACCACATTTTGTTTACACCTCCAAGCTTTCAATGAAAGTACAGGTCATTCTCCACTTACAACAGTTCGTTTAGTGACTGTTTGACACTGAAATAAAAAGTGATTTAGGCCCATTTGTCACACTTACGACTGTTGCTGCATCCCCAGGGATTAAAATTCAGATTCCTGGCAACTGACTCACATTTATGACGGTCGCAGTGTCCCAGGATCACGTGATCCCCTTTTGCGACATTCTGACAAGCCAAGCCAATAGGGAAGCCAGGTTCACGTAACAATGGTGTTACTAACTTAAGTGATTCACTTAACAACTGTGGCAAGAAAGGTTGTAAAAGGGGGCAAAGGTCACTTAACAACTGCCTCACTTAGGAACGAAAATTTTGAGCTCAATTGTGGTCATAAGACGAGGACTTATCTGTATTGGAATGGAAAATCATATTATTTCTGAATATTTTCCATCCATCTATGCCATTATTAACGTGGGAGTCCTTACTGCAAACTTTTAGTTATGGGAGGCAGTGTCCCTCACTCAGACACCAAACAAGACAGACCCAGACTGCAACAGGTAGTTAGGACTGCAGGAAAAACAACTGCAACCAGCCTGCCTTCCATTGAGGCATGAGCCAGAAAGAGGGCTGTGAAAACATCTACAGAAACATCTCACATCCTGGCCATAAACTGTTTCAACTTCTTCCCTCAAGACAACACTGTAGGGCATTGCACGCCAAAACAACCAGACACAGGGACAGTTTTTTCCCCAATGCCATCCCTCTGCTAAACAATTAATTTCCACAACACAGTCTTATGCCCTGGGATGTCAAATCATCTAATAAGAGCACCCGGAGACTACAGCTGGTCCAGAATGCGGCCGTGTGGATAGTGACGGTAGCTGCATGGCGCTCCCACATAACACCTCTCCTGCGTGAGCTGCACTGGCTCCCAGTGGTCTTCCGGGTGTGCTTCAAGGTGTTGGTTATCACGTTTAAAGCACTCCATGGCATAGGACCTGGATACCTTTGAGACCATCTGCTGCCACCAACGACCTCCCACCGACCGGTGCGCTCCCACAGAGAGGGCCTCCTCAGGGTGCCATCGGCCAAGCAATGTAGACTGGTGGCCCCCAGGGGGAGGGCCTTCTCTGTGGGGGCACCTGCTCTCTGGAATCAACTGCCCCCCCGAGATACGAAGAATTCAAGATCTCGGTGCCTTCCACCGTGCCCTGAAGACCTTCCTTTTTCAGCAAGCCAGGCTGGCTTAATGCTTTTTAAATGTTTTTAATATGTTTTGTTATTGTTTTTTTAACTTTGGGGCCAAATTTATATATATATCTTTTTAAATTGTTTTTAATGTTTGTATCTATGTTTTTTACTTTGGCTATACACCGCCCTGAGTCCTTCGGGAGAAGGGCGGTCTATAAATTTGATAATAAATAAATAAATAAGGCTGTATCGCCTATTATCCTTCTCATCTTTCCTATTATCTACTTCCTTAGCTTCTTATGACTATAACTTTGTTGTTTCTATCTTATGATTTATGTTGATTGCTTTTACTTAGTATCCGATTATGATTTTTGCCGATTGCTTATTTAGCATCCTATGACTATCACTTTGTACTCCCAATTTGTACTTCTTTTTTCTATTCTGCATCCTATTCTGTTCTGCTCTATTCTATTCCGTTTTATATTCTGTTCACAAAGATTATTTCTAGATGTAGTAAACTACCAACACAAAGTGTGCCACCTTCAACTCCTGAAGAAGTTAGGAGAACTTACTTGCATAACCAGATACTCAAACACGCTTCACCGATATGAAGTAACCAAATCACCGCATATCTATAATTAAGAAAAACAGCATCAGTTGTCAAGAATAAATTAGACGTCAGTTCAGAAAAGGGAAAGGGTGAAATTCTCCCTCGTGTGTCATTATTACAGATTGAATATCTACACTCATTTGGCAAGTATTTTTCCGCTATTTTCCCCAGAAATCTTCTACAGAAGCATTCTTAAGGATGAAGCATTCCTAAGTTTGATTCCTCAACTTTGAATTTCTCTAACTCCTGCAATGACCAGAATTTGGTCTTGCTTCTCTAGGAGGTTGAATGAGTCAGCATTGGCGCAGATTCTAGATTTCTTCTGTTTTCTGGTCAACTGTGACTTTGGAATTTGCCTTGTTATTTGTCCTCAAGTGATTGAAAAAGTTTAGTCAACTGTGGGCATCAGTTAAGAAAAGGAAGGGAAGGGCTGAGAAGGAAGAAGGCCTGAAGGGAGTAGGTGGAAAAAGGAAGAGAAGGGGAAGTGTGTGTCCCAGATTGTCCTGCAAAACTCCTCTGGGATCTGTCCATATTTGATGGAACTCAGAAAACCATTTTGAGTTTTGTTTCTGATGACTTCCAAAACACCATGTTTGGTCATAGAAATATATTTCTATGTTCTGTGTTGGAATGGCTTGACCTCAAAACATCATTCTGGGTAAAAAAAAATCTTTGATTTCCATTATTCTCCATAATCCTAGACTTTCCAAAACTCGGTTTCAAAATCCAGAAGACAAGACACTGCTAAGAATTCTGAGCGTCGCAATAAACACCTCTGGAAGTTGGGAAATACTGCCCCAAACTGATCAGAGCCCAGCTTTCTCTTGACAAAGGTAACCAGCTTTCTCTTCTTGCAACAGGACAGTTCATTGCATTGCTATCTGTCAAGCATGTGTTAAAAATTCCAGTTAAGCTGGTTATTGTTCATGCCTATAGACATGAATCTGGTCACCTAAGGTCAGCACTAAATTGGTATTTGATAAGATTTAACAGAATTCAAGAGGACGGGACATCAAGCATAGTTATGAGCTGTGGTGGCGCAGTGGTTAGAATGCAGTATTGCAGGCAAACTTTGTCCACAGCCTGAAGTTCGATCCTGACTGGCTTGAGATTGACTCAGTTTACCATCCTTCTGAGGTCAGTAAAATGAGGATCCAGATTGTTGGGGGCAATAGGCTGACTCTATAAACCACTTAGAGAGATCTGTAAGACAATGTTGAGCAGTATATAAGTCTAATGTCAACTTGCAAAGCTTTCAAGTTGCCATGAGCAGGAGGGAGGGAGAACTGATGGAGCTGATTGATTACCCTAACTAAAATTACATTCCACAGATGCTTTTCTACTGCAATCAGTAGGAGAGTTTTGGGTTTCACAACCAGCCAAAGTGGTTAATTGGAGAATGTGATTTATAACATGTCCAGGGAGGAGGGGAGAGACAAAGTCATAGGGGAACATAAATCTACGTAGGATTAGTTCTAACTGCATCCGAATATTGCCGAAATGGTGCTCCTAATAATTTTTTTTATTATTTGATTTATATGCCGCCCTTCTCCGGAGACTCAGGGTGGCTTACAATGTGCTAAGCAATAGCGTTCCTCCTTTTGTATATTTATACAAAGTCAGCTTATTGCCCCCACAACTGGGTCCTCAATTTACCTACCTTAGAAAGGATGGAAGGCTGAGTCAACCTTGAGCCTGGCAAGATTCGAACCTGCAGTAATTGCAGGCAGCTGGTCTTAATAACAGAGTGCTTTAGACCACTGTACTACCAAGGCTCTGTAGTACAAATGACTGTATTTCTTTTGAAGTTTGGCTCGTAGCTCATGAATTATTTAGGGCATCTTTTGGAAACTTCACATCTAAGTGCTATTGCTATTGCTATTGCTATTCAGTCTTCCATCCTTCCGAAGTCAGTAAAATGAGGGTCCAGATTGTTGGGGGCAACAGGCTGACTCAGTAAATGGTTTAGAGAGAACTGTAATACACTGTAAAGTGGTACATAAGTGCTATTGTTATTGCTATTGACTCTGTCTTCCATCCTTCCAAGTTCGGGGACAAAAGGCTGACTCTATAAACTATTTAGAGAGGGCTACAAAGCACTGTGAAGCGGTATATAAGTCTAAGGGCTATGGATATTGCTATTAGCCAAATAGCCCCTACAAGGAACGTGTGTCCCCAAATGTTGAAGTCAACTTACCCTACATGGAAAACAGGTTTGTGGTTCTCCTGCAGATATCGTGTGAATCTTCCTAATGGACCCAGACCATCATAGGGGATCCTTGAAGGTGCCAAGACAGCACACTGAAGAGGGGAAAAGGGAAGGCCCATTTTATTAGCACCACTCAAGCTTCTCCCCAGATTGTTCCAATTTGCACACCGGTTCCTTTTTCAATCCCCTTGTCATCTTCACAACCAAATTTACAGGGTAGTAAGAAAAGAGGTTCTGCTGTTATACTTTCCATAACCTGTACACAATTGTACAAACCAGCAAAACTTGTTTTTAAGAAAGGACATGGTTTATAAAATGTGCACAGGGGCTCCTCTCTCTCTCTCTCTCTCTCTCTCTCTCTCTCTCTCTCTCTGTGTGTGTGTGTGTGTGTGTATGTATATATGTATATAGATATATATATAGATAGATATGTGTGTGTGTGTGTGTGTGTGTGATATATACTTGTGAATGAGATTTCACAGAACTAGGTCTGTAGAACATCTTCGCTTACGTAGGTAAAACCTGGCTAGAAAGAATATGCACATAAAAGCCTACGAAAAAGAAAAAGAAACATTGTACCTTTACAGGGAGGATACTTGAGAAGAGGGTGTGGCTCACTGATGACGCCTTACAAGGCAGAAATAGCTATTTGAGTCTCCCAAATTGCAGCACAGAGTTGCTGCTTGTCAGCAAATACAAAAAGCCCAGAAACTTGTGAATGAGATTTCACAGAACTAGGGCTGTAGAACATCTTAGCTTACGTAGGTAAAACCTGGCTAGAAAGAATATGTATGTATGTATGTATGTATGTATGTATGTATGTATGTATGTGTGTGTGTGTACATATATATATACAGTTCTCTACCTGTGCCTCTATCTCTACATCTATCTCTACATACCTCTCTCTCTCTCTCTAAGCTCTATCAGCTCTCTACCTGTGCCTCTATCTCTCTACATCTACTTCTATCTACATACCTCTCTCTCCCTCTCCCTCTCCCTCTCTCTGTATCTATCTATATAAGCTCTATCAGCTCTCTACCTGTGTCTCTATCTCTCTACATCTACATCTATCTACATACCTCTCTCTCCCTCTCCCTCTCTCTGTATCTATCTATATAAGCTCTATCAGCTCTCTACCTGTGTCTCTATCTCTCTACATCTATATCTATCTACATACCTCTCTCTCCCTCTCCCTCTCCCTCTCCCTCTCTCTGTATCTATCTATATAAGCTCTATCAGCTCTCTACCTGTGTCTCTATCTCTCTACATCTACATCTATCTACATACCATTCTCTCTCTCTCTCTCTCTTTCTTTCTCTCTCTCTCTCTCTCTCCCCTCCTTACGCCGTAGTACAGCATGCCGCCCACGATCACCATCGCTAAAAACGGTCTGGTCCTTCGGAAGTAGGTGGCTGGGTCGTGGGAACGAGAGGCGGACGCAGACCGGGACGCCATTCTCCTCCGGGTTGGCTCTGCCCACGGCTGCCCGAGCTACTGAAGAAGAAGAAGAGCCTTTGCCAGGCCGGCCCTGAGGAGGAGCCGCTCCTCCTCCGCCCTGCTCCGGGATGCGCAGCTCCGCCTTTGCCTCCGCGGAATGGCAGAGCCGGGGAGGGCTCACGTGGGAATGCCTCCCTCTCGACTCGCCAGGTGGGCGGGTGGGAGTGGTTGGGGGTGATTCCGGCTTCTTTTGCAACAGTCCGGAGGATGCTAAGCACTACACGGATTGCTCCACCTTTTCTCTCCGGAGAGGCTTTAGTTGGGGGTGAAGGTTTTTGTGGGGGGGGGCGTCCCTATGCGTTGCGGTTGGGCAGAGACAGTAAGTGACTGGTTCAAATCCCCCCAGTTGGCTTTCATGACTAAGGTGGGACTTGAACTCGGGGCCTCCTTAACCACATGGCTAAATGAACATACTTTTCTGTCTGGGGTGAGGAATCATAGTGATTTTAGCATCGCGTGGCAACGCTGATCCTTTTTCCGTGTGTGTCAAAATGCTGCGTTATTTTCAAACCGAGCAATAAAAAGAGAAATAAATAAAAAAATAAAAATAAAAATAAAGGAGAACGAAAGGCCAGAAAAAGAAAATGTGGAAAGTAAAAAAAAAAAAAAAGGAAAGGAAAGGAAAGGAAAGGAAAGGAAAGGAAAGGAGGAAAAGGAAAAAAGAACTATGAAAACAAAAGTCAGGAAAATTGTTTATTTATTTATTTATTTATTTATTTAAATTTGTATACCACCCTTCTCCCGAAGGACTCAGGGAGGTGAACAGCCAAAATTAAAATACATACAATATAAAATTTAAAAATAATTTAAAAACAGAATTAAATCGAATTGGCTTCCCAAAAGTTAAAACCCATTACCCTTGAAATAACCCATTAAAATAACCCATTAAAAATAAGTGACTTGTGAACTTTCTTTGCAACAGAAACGAACAACTTCCTTCATGTTACACAAATCCCTCCAGTCCTTGTCTGGCTTTTCAATCCCCCAACTCATCAATCATCACTTTATTTTTCTCTGTTTTCGGCCAAAAGCCGTCAGAGTTTTCCATTCTTTTAAAAAGCCACATATTGTTTTTATCTCTGACTGAAGCAGTTCAGTTTTGCCATTTCTGACATTTTTGAAATCAACGGCAGCAATTCCTCCATGGTGAGAATTTAGTCTTGGTGTCGTTTCCATGAAAATTTGCTCTTTTTTTCCTGGACAAATTAGAGTGAATTTTGAAAGAAACTGATAGGAATTTTGAATCCCTATCCATCCAACTGTTGGATGGATAGGGATTCCTGCTATGACGTGGCATTTTACATTCACTTCTTATTTTGGAGGTTGCAATCTTGCAAATTTGGAGCTAAAAAGTTTTTTTTTTCTTGGCCATGAGGTATGTTTTTAATGCATTAAATCTGCAGTTTCAGAACATTTTGAATTTCTCCTGATTGAAAGCAGCAAGGGCCAGTTTTAAAAAAGGAGCACCAGGGGGCAGTGTTTCCATAAAAAAACATTTTGCGTCCAGATAGATCTTTAAAAGTGTGAACATGAATACTTCTATTCTATTGGAATAAACAAAAAAAAAGTGTTTTTCCTATTGCATTTCCTTTTTAACCTGGGAGAGATGAAATGTAGAAAAATGAAAGAAAAAAAATTGAAGTAGGGTTTTCAACAGTGAAAAGGAATAAGATACGGGGATTCTCAAGCTATTTTGATTAAACTTCTCTATTTATCTCCCACCGGTATTATTTTTATAAACAATGAAGTGGTGAACATATCTAATACATCTTCTTCCTCCTATTTTTCCCACAACAACCCAACTCTGTGAGGTGAGTTGGGCTGAGAGAGAGAATGACTGGCCCAAAGTTACCCAACTGACTTTTCAAACCTAAGGTGGGACTCGAACTCAGAATCCCCTGGTTTCCAGCCTCAACCATTAGGCCATATTGCCTCTCCTTGTTGGAGGCCTTTGTTTCATGAGATAAATGTCCAGATTTCAACACCCCTACCCCCCTTCCTTCTTGTCTGGATGATGTAACATCACATTCACATCTTTGATTTGATTATAACTGTCCACAGAATATATTATTAATGCTGGTCAGGATATAAACCCCCATCTTGGTCAACGCCTTTTGGGATGACATCCTAGGCTAGAAAAACACGTCATTCAAAAGGTATCTATCAGGTTTGAGGTGGAGCACCTGGCTTGTGGTAGGCAGGGCAAGTAGTAAGAAAAGTAAAGGGCCTACATTTAGGCCAAAAAAAAAACAAAAAAAAAAAAACCCGGATCCATAAATATAAAATAGATGGTACCTGGCTCAACAGTAGTAACTGTGAGATGGATCTTGGGAGTCCTAGTGGACAATCAATTACCGTACTTTTCGGAGTATAAGACACACTTTCCGCCCCTCCCAAAAGAGGGTGGAAATGTTGGTGCGTCTAATACACCAAATACAGCCATTTTTGACCTTCCAAAGCCCCGCACCGCGCATCCCGTTTTTCGCAAAAACGTGGCACACAGAGTAGTTGTGGGTTCCTCCCGGTTCGGCCCAGTTCGGCCGAGCCGGTAGCGGTGACAATATGACGTCAAAATAAATGGGTAGACCAGTGCCTCCAAAAACAAATGAGTAGACCGGTGCCTGCAAAAATAAATGAGTAGACCGGTACAGCTCTGCAAGCAGTTAAAAGCCTGGTAGACCAGTACCTCTGCTAAATCCTAAAGAATTGTTACATGACCATCAAGCCACGCCCACAAAATAAGCCACACCCACAGAACTGGTAGTAAAAAAGTTTAGAACCCGCCCCTGATGCAGAGGCTTTGTGTGGCCTACAGAGTGCTCCTGTGGGCTGGGGAGGGCAAAAACAGGGTACACAAAGGGTTTGGGAGGCCTGCAGAGCAGGAGTGAAATGCTACCGGTTCAAACCAGTTCGCCAGAATCGGTAGCGATGGCAGTGTGAGGCTCCGGCCACCCACCCGGTCTCCGCGTGGTTTTAACCAGGAAGTAACCTGTTTTTTACCCTCTGCACATGCGCAGAATGGTTTGCGCATGTGCAGAGGGTCCGCAGGGCGTGCACTTCCGAACCGGTAAGTAGATTTCACCCCTACTGCAGAGTTCTCCAGGGGGCCAGGGAGGGCAAAAACTTTTTTTTCCTTGCTTACCTCTTTGAAATCTTGGTGCGTCTTATACACCGGTACATCTTATAGTCTGAAAAAATACGGTAAATATGAGCCAGCAGCGTGCTGCAGCCACCAAAAAAGCCAATGCAATCCTGGGCTGCATCAACAGAGGGATAGCATCAAGATCATGTGAAGTGTTAGTACTGCTTTATATGGCACTATTTTGGCCACATTTTATACAGGTAATCCTTGACTTACAACAGCTCACGAAGGGGAAGAGGCAGGGGTGAAATCCAGCAGGTTCTGACAGGTTCTGGAGAACCAGTAGCGGAAATTTTGAGCAATTCGGAGAACCAGCAAATATCACCTCTGGCTGGCCCCAGAGTGGGGTGGGAATGGAGATTTTGCAATATCCTTCCCCTGCCACTCTCACCAAGCCACACCATGCCCACCAAGCCACGCCCACAGAACCGATAGTAAAAAAAGTTTGGATTTCACCACTGGGAAGAGGGGAACCAATTTGTCATCTCCTGGTCCATCAGGCTAAAAAGGGGCATGTAGAAGTCATTGAGGTTGAAGACTAGAAGACCTCTCAAGGTCCCTGGATTCTGATTTTTTTTTTTTTTTTGAAGACTGGCTAAGTTCCTGCCCATCTCCATTTTCAATTGGGGTTTTCCATGAATAGATTCCTAGCAGTTTAACAAGGTAAATCATGATTTCCATCGTGTGAATAAAGGCGAACCTTTTGTAGAACATCTTGAAGTCTCAAGATTGAGCTCTTGGAAAGAGTTGCATTTGCAAATTAGGCAGCTGTTCTTCTCCAGGTTTAAGCTGAACTCCTGGTGAAAATTTTCCATAATCTTGGTCAGAAATAAACAAGGATACAATGAATAGCTCTTTATGGAGGGTTGCCCAGAAACGAACCAGAATCCTGAAAGTTTAAGATTAAACCTTCACTTATTATAAAGCCATCAATAACTGAGGGTTTTTTGTTTTTTGTTTTTTTGTCTTTTGGTACTGTCCATGGGGTTTGCCAACAAAAGTGCATATAGTCAAGGCTATGGTTTTCCCAGTTGCAATGTATGCTCTGAAAATTGGACCATAAGGAAGGCTGAGCGCCACCTTTGAACGATGGTGCTGGAGAAGACTCCTGCAAGTCTCTTGGACCGCAAGGCAATCAAACCGGTCAGTCCTAGAGGAGATCAACCCTGATTGCTCTTTAGGAGGCTAGATCCTGAAGATGAAACTCAAATACTTTGGCCACCTAATGAGAAGGAAGGACTCACTGGAGAAGAGCCTAATTCTGGGAACGATTGAGGACAAAAGAAGAAGGGGACAACAGAGAATATCCAGAGGTGGCTGGATATAGTCACTGAAGCAGTCGGCATGACCTTAAATGGACTTCAGAGGATGGTAGAGGACAGGAAGGCCTGGAGGAACATTGTCCATGGGGTCACAATGGGTCAGACACGACTTTGTGACTAACAACAACAACTGAGTTTTAAATTGGAAGCCTTGTATTGTGTCCTCAAGTCCCCCGAAATGCATCACCCCAACTCACAATCTCAGAACGCACACAAACGCATCGAGAAATGACTCCCGAAGACATCTGAGAGTCTAAGACTGAGAATAACTTTAGCTCTCTTTACTAACATTGTTTGTGTCGACTCTTTTTCCCCATGGTTTTGTCACTCACCCCCTGAATTCCACCTCGGGATATTTTGCCTTAAGTAGTGTCAATGATTACTAAAATCAAGCTGGTGTCGTGGCTAAAAGCACTGGAAGACTACGAATTTTAGTCCTGCTGGCTTCTATAACAAAACCAGTTGTGTGACCTTGGATGAGTCATTCTATTTCAGTCCTAGCAAGAAGAAATCAGATTCACAAATCTGGTCAAAAAAACAGCAGGGATTTGTCCAGACAATCGCCAGAAATCAAAAACTGTCTCAAAGGTACTTGTGCA